AAAAGAGTACAAGGCCATTTGATTATGGAAGTGTACTTGGCACACATTTGGTACTCAAATTGGAAGATCAAGATCAAACTCAAGGTGGTAATAAAGTTTAAGTTCTAAGTGATGAGTGAAGATCATTTGGAAGAAAGAAAATGACTTAAAGAAGGATTCAAGGTTATTCATCAAGTTAAGTCCATCACTTGGATCAGTCAATCAAGTCATTTCAAGTAAGTATCAAGGATGGTTCTTTGGAGAGAGGTCACTTCTCCCTAGTGTAGGGGCTTGCCGTCTATGTGTAGGTAAACCAAGTGTGGTGCTTGGAAGGCTAACATGGAAGTGATGATCCGAGAAACATTTGAGATGCTTAGTTGAAGCAATCAAAAGGATTGATCAACACCCAAAAGAGAGCTACTCCTGATATTTCAAGTGGTATTCTCATATTGATGCTCTCATGCAAGCAAAGATGAAATGAAGAAGTAAGCCAACCACATCATGATAGTGCACTTGATCATTAGTTATTCTCATTTCATATGGGGGAAGAATGGACTCTATCTATGATGATTGGTCTTCACCAAGCTATAAATTGGACTTCACATTGCTATTATGGATTTTAATTGGAAACTAGTGTCTATCCTCTACTCTAAGATAGCAAAGGTATCATTGTAATGTGCATGATCATTTCATCCCTTACTAGTATGTGGGTAGTGCATATAGTTTATACTTCATAGGATCATGCATAACAAATGAAAGTTTTAAATTCATAGCCTACCACTATTGCTTGAATGATTAATTGATCTAGTGGTTAGTATATGAATTTGTTCATAAGCTAGTGAACCCAAGTACTTGATTTAATTTGGATTGCTAACAAGTGACAAGTACAACATTGGCAAGATAACCCTTGTAAGAGGTGTGAAAAAGCTTGTCGTTGGTTCAAACCGGACTTGGAAGCTTAAGCAAATCAATTTAGTTCAAGTCAACCATATAAGCTTATGATAGTGATAAGAGTATAAGCACAAGACAACAATACAAATGGATATCTAGTTTGTTTGTTTCAAGTGGTATCTAGACTCAAGTATTTCATCAAGAATTCACAAGTGATGTCTAGATCAATTCACAATTGATATCCTATAAGTGGTACTCATGAAGATAGCAAATGTTTAAGAAATAGTTTTTATTAATAAATCCAACAAGTGGTTCCATACTAGAAAATTCAAGTGGTATCACATCTACATGTGGTATCAATCATGCAAGATGATGGTTCCACAAGTGATCCTCAACTTTAAGTGGTCATCAAATGAAGAATACATCCCTCATCTACAAGAGCTCAAGTTTATCAAATGGATGACCCATGCTATGACATAGGGGGAGATGTCCTACAAATTGATATCAAGGTCGAAGATCCTATGTGTGGTATCTCAAGGGCTACAAGTGGTGTCATTTCAACAATCAAGTGATGTCCATAAAAAATGCAAGCTTCAAGCCTCAACCATTTACCCCAAATGCAAACCTTTGCATCAATGAGAAGCACACCTTTTATGGAAATTGATGACAAAGGTGAAGAGATTGTACAAAGATATGAAAGCTTTGGGAGAGATTGAGACAAAGAAGTAGAGGTTGTACATGGATATGGACAAAGAGGGAGCAACATTGAAGAAAAGAGGATCAAAATTCTTGGACAAGAGAAGCACATAAGTAGGGGGAGCAAGTTCATGAACTTTGATTGGTTGCATTTGATATATGCATAATCATGTGCTTACTTGCATTGCATAAATTTTTTAAATTTGATATGCATGTTTGTGTGGTGTATGCGAGTTGTAGAACTTGAATGATGATTTGATAACTAGCATGCATAGGATGGTAGCTAGACTTGTATTTTTACACATGGTACTAGAACTTTGCTTATAATGTTGATCTCACGAGGTTTCTAATATTTTTGTTGTCTAGCTACTCATGGTGCTAAGGATGGTGTTAAAAGTGCAACTCCGATTGGTATCACACTTTAAAGGTTTATTCTATATACCTTAGCATCATTTGATAGTAATTACTCTCCTACAATTCCAATCTATGCATATGTGCGAGCTTCAAACCAAACACTCTAGCACATATGTAGGGGGAGCTAATACTACCATTTTGGGTTTATGGTACTTGTCCAAAATCATTTACACATGGTAAAATTGCTTGGGCAAGCAAAATAAATCCAAAAGAGCTTAATTTTCATATCTTTGTAGAGTTGTCATCAATTACCAAAAAGGGAAAGATTGAAAGGTCCGTGTTTGGTTTTGGTAACTGAGTGACAACCCTAGGTGGACTAATTGTGTTTATGTGAGATACACAGGTGATTAGTCCACAGGTACATGTGTGTGAGCAACATATGCCATGGAGGTGGAAATGGCTCGGAGATGTTGCAGAGCTCGCACATATGATGATGAAGGAGCTCATTGCACATGAGACATGACATTGAGTCATGTGATCAAGGTGGAGAAGATCAAGATATGACTTGGCTCGACGGACCGGTTGCAAGTGTGAAGGGCAAGTTGAGTGATGACTTGGCACCGATGGACCGAGGCAACGGTGAAGAGCAAGTAAAATCAAGATCGATGAACCAATATGATCACGTGATGATATAAAGTGGATCATATCATTGTTGATCGTGTTGGTGCATGTGTTGCATCGACATTGAAGGAGATGGAATGAAATACGCAAGGCAAAGGTATAACCTAGGGTATTTCATTTCACCGGTCATAGGTATGTAGAGAAGTTGATGACCGAGTTTAGGATAGATGGTCGTACTATCAAGAGGGGCAAACTTGTTTGCATATTGGTCATCTAGTGCCACTCGAGTGATCTAACTTTGCATCGTTGCTAGTATCGAGTGGCGTGGCAAGTTGAGTGGCTAATCCTTTGAAAAATGATTGTGAAAATGCTAACACATATATATATGGTGGTGTACATTTGGTGGTGTTGGCACATTTGCAAAGGAGAAAGAAGTTGGACTGAAACGGATCAACTTGGCAAAGAAACGGAGGTGAAAAGTGGTCACTAGAGGTGACCGGACGTAGGCCTCGGGAGGACCTACGCGTCCGGTCAATTTTAGCCGCAGCACGCTGGATGGCCGAGGGGCGTGAGTTGACTGACTGAACTCTGGTCCATGTGGTGACCGGACTCGACGACAGTGCGTCCGGTCGAGGCTGGCAAACGCTAATGTAAGCGGCTGTGCGAGCGAGACGTGGACCTGATGCTAGGCGCGTCCGGTCGCTCCTGATCGGACATGTCCGATAATCATTTTGCTGCTCGAGGACCTCTCTGGAAACGACCGGACTCAGGCGGTGGCGTGTCCGGTCACATGCGAACGGACACATCCGGTCATGTTTTAGAGTCTCTAGGAGCTCTCTGTTGTTGACCGGACGCTGAGGTGTGGTGAGTCCGGTCAAGCTAAGCAGCGTGTCCGATCGGTGGATGAAGGTGCGCGAGCGCGAGGTAGCTGTTGGTGGCAACGGCTATTTTCAAACGACTAGTGCCACGTGGAGGTGGTACAGCGACCGGACGCAGGGATCGGCGCGTCTGGTCGATCGGACCTGCGCGTCCGGTCGTCCCGAAATCTGCACAGTGAAGGGGTAACGGCTATTTTAGCCCGTGGGGCTATAAATAGAAGCGTTGGTCGGCCTTTGGCCCTGAGCCGAGCTGAGCTGAGCACCCTCATGCCTGTGTGGCTTGTGTAGGAGTGCTTGGATACCCTCTAACTCACTTGTGCTTGCAAGAGTGCGAATCGATTGCGAGTAAGTGTGATTCTAGTGCGTTGCATTGTGAGATTGCATCGAGTGGCACTAGATGTTCGAGTTGCAAGCTGGTGTTGCTTGTTACTCTTGGAGGTTGCCACCTCCTAGACGGCTTGGTGGTGGTCTCCGTTGAAGCACGCAAAGAAGATTGTGCGGTGCTCCGGAGAAGTGATTGTGAGGGGGATTGTGCTCACCTCGCGGGTGCCGTGAAGAGCAACTCTAGTAGAGCGAGACTCGAAGGGCGACAAGTGGTCCTGCTGGGTTAAGTGCTAGAGCTTGTGGTAAGCACTTCACGTGGGAGAGTGTGACTTGCGGGTCACCACTAGCAAGAACACCGATGGCAACCTTGGAGCTTGTCTCAACAGGGACTAGCGTGTTGGCAAGCACGTGAACCTCAGGATAAAAATCATCGTGTCATCCTTGTATTCCCGTTGGTTTGCATCCTTCTTACACAAGCTTGTAATTAGTTTCATATACATTGTGCTTGTGTAGCTGCTCTTATAATTAGTTAGCTTGTGTAGCTCACTAGTTACCTTCTTGCTTATGTAGCATAGAAGTAGCTCTCTTGCGTGGCTAATTTGGTTTATGTAACCTTGTTAGTCACATTACTTAGTTTGTGTAGCTAAGTATTTGTGCTCTCTAATTTGGCATTGGTTGCCTTGTTATTGAGCATTGCTAGTAACCTTAGGAGTTTTGTGCTTTTGCTTACTATAATTGTGTAGGAGCTCCCCGGTGTGCAAAATACTAGTGGCAAACGTTTGTGTGACCTTGCTCCTAGAATTAGATAGGTGAGCTCTAGCTAGCTTGGCACCTTAGTTGCTTAATTAGGATCTTTGCAAGGTGCTAGAGAACATGGATAGATGGATGTAGTCTTGACTAGACCGATAGTTTTAATTCCGCACTTGTTTCGGTTAGTCGACGCGATTATGTTTTAGAAAGGACTATTCACCCCCCTCTAGTCCGCCATCTCGACCCTACAGTTGTTCGTGTTCATATTTGCTACATCTACGAGTAGTATATTTACACACGTGTACATACATGTTATCACAAATTTGCTATGGTATTTCTGGATTAAATTTAACTTGAAAATGCCTAAATTCCTAACAGAAACGGTATATCAGATGAAATCTACATGTTAATTTTGATAGAACTACAGAATTTAAACCAGGCTAACCAAAGTTTTGTAATGCTGTCTTCTCATACTTAAAGTTACAAAGATAGGGAAAAACTAATTACCTGCCAAAGCATTTGCTGCTTCAGGAATGGGTGCCACTGCACTCAGAAAGAAGAAGAATGATGATCCAAAGTAAGCCACGAGAAACATCAGAACTAAGTAGTCGAGGAACACTACTCCACTGTTTTCCAATGTCAGACCCGCTAGAAAATACACACAAACTGAATAAAGGAGTGCCTGCATTACACATAATATGTTTGCATTATACAACCTTTGTTGTCATAGGGATGAAGCTAGAAAGTAATATGCTGGTTATGTTTAGGATCAAGTACCATTTAGACTGCATATATGTGCAGATGTAAACCATTGGTGACAAAAAGTTGAAGGATGAGATTACCTCAGTAAAAGCCTGGGGTAGATTACTAATGCAATGAGGTACAACATAAGAGGATGTCCTGAAAAATCTTTGGTCCCTATGTTTATAGAATGTGGGTCTCTGAAGCATATATAGAGGTAGCTGAGGCATATTTATGAGCAAAATGCTCATGCTGGTTACAAATCCTAGAGCTCTCACAGAGTTCATGTGTTGAAGATTATACCGGCCACCAAGCTTGTAGAACAGTGTCCCTGCAAATATACCAAGAATGCATGCCTGAAAAAAGAACTTTAGTAATGTACCTTATCCTATCATGATAAACCAAGGAGCCGATTCATCTGCCATGTTTGTTTAATAATAATTGGCAAACCTGGATGATTCTGAGTGTGCTCAACATTTGAAGTTGTTTCAAGATCCTAAGCTGTCTCTGGATCAGGGTTCTTGTTGATTTCCACCATGGTTGCACATATGGCCTCTTAAATTGCTCCCACCGTAATTCATCCACATTGCTCTATGATTTTTTTATTTATCAAATGTGAAATATTTCAGTATTGAATTATTGAATAAATCTTCAAGTCCATCGTGACAAAATTTTGAAACCCAATCAACTTATGATTTACCACTGATAATCAGAAGAATAAGGTCTGAAGAAAACGTTAATAGTTTCACCTGCCTTATGGTCAAATCGTTCAAGTTGAAGGCGGATATGTCCTCGGGCATGAAGTAGAGTGGAGAAAACTTGATCTAGATGTTGCTGTTGGTCAAATATTGGCCCAGTCGCTAGATACTGCATTGGCTCTTCGTTTATGGAAATTCCTGTTACCACATCGCCGACTTGAATGTTCCCTGTACTTTCAGCCCCAGTAGCAGATCCAGATTTGTTCAGAAGCTTTGCCACAACTATTTTTAATGTAAAAATGAGATCGTTAATACAGTGTTAGTCTCAATGTATATACAAATAGTTAGTGGTACACTGTATGGCAACTTGACCAAAAAAACTGACCCATTTCTTGATGTTCTGCATTTGAGTTTAAGGTGCTTGATTCTTTCAAGGATAAGCCGATTCCTGGCTCACTCTCAACCCAGTATGTACTGAACTCCTTGTTCTTTCCAATGACCCTTACGATATCCAAGTAATGGTCAGATGAATAGTAGCATTCCACAAGCTCCTCCAAACCTCTAGGAGTTAACCTTGGTAATAGGTACTGCATTCTATTTTCAGCAGCAATATCTTGAAGAAACTCCCAGGATTCAACATGCGATGGCTTCATATACCTAATAGCAAATTTTTTTATTAAATGTGTATTGTCAACAAATTCACCTGAATATTGGAGAAGAACATGTGTAGCTAGTTACCCTAGTTGAGCAAAGTATGTGACTGCATCCTGTCTTGGCCCTTGGTACAGCACATGCCCTTCTCCCAGTAGGATGATCCTGTCGAAGAGATCAAATGCTTCTTGCGACAGGTGATTGAGGGCCATGACTGTAGATGATTGTTGGATTCTACAGACAGCCCTGATAGTATTGACCAAATCATAGGTCATTGCCAGGTCTGAGCCTGTCAATGGCTGGTCATAGACCATAACTGAGTAGGTCCCTAGTGCAAGTTCAGCTATTGCCAGTTTATCCCTGTCAGTGTCTGATATCCCACTAACAAGGCAATTCTCTATTTTCTTCGGGTCAAGAATCTGCATGACATATTCAAGGAAAGGATCCTGTCCTTCTATAAGCGCATAGGCAAAGAACTTTCGCATCTGTGGAGTAAAATTCTCAGGCCGGAGAACCTGCATGCAGTCCCTTGCGAACTCAAGAGTTTCTCGGACTGAGAGGAAGGGGATGTTGTTAGCCCACAGGATCACCGGCTCAGGTGAGTTGACCACTCACCAGTCTTGCCAACCACGGCCGAGCACGACCGAGGCTGTCCGACCACACGCACTATGGCTAGAGGGAGAACAGAGCATACACGCACATAGTACAAGCACCAGCGTTGACCGGAGCCCTGTATAGGAGATGGCAAATATGAACTCTCCTTGTTGAGTTGCAGTGGCAAACTATATATACAACTCTATCCATCTAGTCATAGTACAGTGCACATGCTGCAACAGTAACTAGATAACACAGCAGGACTGACTTCTGCGCCTGTCCCTACATGTGGCTACAGTGCGGCAGGTGAGCTATTCGGCACCTGCCTCTACAGCGGCTATAGTACCATAGCAGGGGGCCTTTTCGGCGCCGCCTTCCCTTGCTGTGTGTTCACACAAGGAAGCAGTAGATTATCTAATAATTCTTCCCCTAATTCTACTGCTATCCCTTGTACCCCTTCCATGCCGATCATCTCCTTCAGCTCCGTGAGTCGAAGACGTCCGAGCGGCTTGGTGAGGACGTCTGCGAGTTGCCGACCAGTTTCGACGAACTCGATGACGATCTGTCCTCCATCGACACAGTCCCTGAGGAAGTGGAACTTCATGTCGATGTGCTTGCTCCAGTCGTGCAGAACCACATTCTTCACGAGGGCGATGGCGGGCTGGTTGTCCACCATCAGTGCTGGTGGGTGAGCTTCTGCACCGGTCAGCTCGCCCAGCAGCCGGCGCAGCCACACAACTTGGCACGCCGCTGTGGCCGCCGCTACGTACTCTGCCTCGCACATAGACAACGCCACCACCTTCTGTTTCAATGACAGTCATGAAATTGGAGCCGACCCGAGGAAGACGAGCACTCCAGAGGTGCTCCGTCGTCCGTCGATGTCCCCCGCCATGTCTGCATCACTGAACACAGTGAGCTGCAGCCTACTCCCACCAGTCTTGGGAAAGATGATCCCCTGATCCACCGTCCCCTTGTAGCACAGTAGCCGCTACACTGCAGCCCAGTGATCCTCTCTGGGATCCTCCATGAAGCGACTGACGTAGCCCACGGCGAATGCAATATCCAGCCTTGTGTGGACTAGGTAGCATAGACCGCCGACGATGCTGGCCTTCGTCAGCTTCAGCCACTCCTCCATCGGAGTCACGCATGGCTTGCACTCAGCCATACCGCTCCGCTCCAACAGCTTTGAGGCATACGCGCTCTGACCGAATGTGAGTTCCTCCTTCCCCTTTCTCACCTCGATGCCGAGGTAGTAGGAGAGTGCGCCAAGATCGCTTATTCGAAAATGAGCCTCCATCTCGCACTTGAAGCTGTTGATGTCCTCCGTCCGCGTGCCGGTGACGATCAAGTCATCCACATACACGCCGACGATGAGCTCCTCCTTCCCCCATCACCGCATGTAGAGCGCGTGCTCAGTTGCGCACCGTTGAAACCCAAGCTCGCCCAGCATGGCGTCAAGCTTGGCGTTCCATGCTCGTGGGGCCTGCCACAGCCCATAGAGCGCCTTATGCAGTCGGAGCACCCTGTGCTCCTCTCCCTTGACTGCGAAACCTGGGGGTTGCCTGACGAAGACCGTCTCCGCCAGCTCGCCATTGAGGAAGGCCGATTTAACGTCCAAGTGATGGACGCGCCAGTCCTTTGCTGCTGCCAAGGCTAATAGCAAACGGACCGACTCCATGCGCGCTACTGGCGCAAAGACCTCCTCGAAGTCGATGCCCTCGCACTGAACAAAGCCTCGGGTGATGAGGCATGCCTTGTGCTTTACAATGGCGCCGAGCTCGTCCCATTTGACCTTATACACCCACTTCAGGCTGATCGGACGGCATCCTGGAGGTGGATCGATGAGCTGCCATGCCTTGTTTTTCTCGATCGCCTTCATCTCCTCCAGCATCGCCCGTCACCAGTTTCCATCATGCTCGGCCAGCACGAACGTGGGTGGTTCCTCTACACTAACGAGCAGCAGCTCGTGGTCATTGAGCAGCCGACCAGCCAGTCCTGAGGGCCCTATGCCGCCGACAATGTCGTCCAGCCTACGGAACCGCACCTCCTCACCTTCATGGAAGGCATCCACAAACTCAGTGATGTCACTTGGAGGTGAGGCGAACTCGATCGGCGTCGATGGAGTTCCCTGTTCCGCCGGAGTGCTCGGCACCCCGGTTGTAGTGCTCGACATTACTTCTGGACAGCTCATCACAACTCCTACAGTACTCGGCACTACTGCAGGAGTGCTCAGCCTCAGTCTTGGGTTGGTCGGCACCACTGGAAGACCTCTTGGCTCTACCACGGGAGTGCTCGGTACCCGTCCTAGAGTGGTTGCCACCACTATAGAACCTCCCGGCATCACTCCTGGCGTGCTCGATATCCCTCCAAGAGTGCTCGGCATTCCTCCCTAAGTGCTCGGCATCCCTCCCGAAGTGCTCGGCACTACCGCTGGAGTGCTTGGCTCTGCCGCTGGAGTGCTCAGCACTCCTCCTGGAGTGCTCGGCACCTCTTCCCCAGCGTCTCCACCACCGTGGATGACCAGGTGCTCAACGACGAAGGTGCTGGTGAAGCTGTCAGCTTCCCCCGTTCTCGGACTGTTCTAGTCCCAAGCCGCCTTCTCATCGAACACAACATCGCGTGAGACAAGTACCTTGTTTCCGCGTGGGTCGTAGAGCCGGTACACCTTGGTACCCTCCACGTAGCCCAGGAACACCATCGGTGTGCTCCTGTCCTCCAGCTTGGTGAGGATCGGCTTCGTCTTCCTAACGTGGCCGATGCAGCCGAATGTCCGGAGGAAGGACACACTCAGCTTGCACCCATACCCAGCTTTGAACGACGTCTTGCCCGTCAGGGCCTTGATCGGAGCGCGGTTGAAGATGAACACCGCCGTGGTCACCGCCTCACCCCAGAACCTTGCCGGCATGCCTTTGGCCTTCACCATGGATCGGGCCATGCCGACCACTGTCTGGTTCTGTCTCTCCACCACGCTATTCTGTTGTGGCGAGTACGGCGCAGTGTGGTGTCGCACCACACCCTAATCCACATAGTACGCAGCGAACTCCACCGAAGTGAATTCGCCACCGCGATTAGTTCTCAGCACGTGGAGCTTCTTGCCGCTCTTGGCCTCCGCGCGCATCTTGAACTTCTTGATCACCGCCGCCGCTTCGTCCTTGCTTGTCAGGAGTTGTAGCCACATGTAGCGACTGCAATCATCCATGAGCAGGAGGAAGTACCGCCGACCACCATTTGTAGCTGGCGTGATCGGCCCATAGAGGTCGCTGTGGATGAGCTCGAGAGCGTCCTTCGCGCGATACTTGGCCATCTTTGGGAACGGTAGCCTCCTCTGCTTCTTGGCCAGGTAGCTGTCACACAGCTCGCCTTCGTGCTTGATGTGGGGTAGCCCTCGGACCATCTTCTCTAGCCGACCAAGCGCGTCGAAGCTGAGATGTTCGACCTGGGCATGCCACATCCACGGTTCCTCGGTGTGCCTTGCCACCAGGCACACCGGCTGCTCTACCTTCAGGTTGAGTAGGTACAACCGGTTCAGGGACCTCTTCACCTTGGCGAGAAGTCGCTGCTCCCGGTCCTTGATCCTAAGGACTCCGTCCTTGATTAGTACCTCGCTACCGTGCTCATCTAGCTGACCAATGCTGATGATGCTGGAACGCGGCTGCGGGATGTAATATATATCCGTTAGCGCGTGGTGTTCCCTGTTCTGGCACCTGAAGATGATGGTGCCGCACCCTTGGATTTCCACCCGTGAGTCGTCACCAAACTTCACCATACCGGTAACATCGTCGTCGAGCTCGGAGAAGGATGCCTTGGAGCTCGTCATGTGGTTGCTGGCACCAGAGTCTAGGTACCGCCGCTGCTCCTGGTCGGCGCCCACACGTTCGAGGTGGACTTGGGCGCGTGGTTCGTCGAGGTTGACAGCCTTCAGTGCCTTCCCTTGCCTCCACCATCGTCACCTCTTCCTTCTCCTCGCCCTCGACGTCGTGCAGTGCATAGAACATCGCTATCAGGATAGTGGCCTCATCATCATCATCAGCTTGTGCCAGATGAGCCTCAGCCTTCTTCTCCTGCTTGCGATTTGGGCACTCCCGTGCCCAATGGCCCGTCTTCCCGCAGCGCCTACAGACGTTGGAGTCGACCTGCTTCTTCTTCTCTGTAGAAGCCTTGCCATGGCGCTTGCCATCGCCACCGCGGCTGGAGGAGGCTGCCTTCCCAGAGTTCCTCTGAGCCGCCCACTGCTCCTCTGTCAGCAGCAGTTTACCGCTGTCCTTCGTTGCTGTCGCCTGCTCCAGGCGCTCGTCCACCGCTCGCGGACGGCCTATCACATCCTCAATGGTGAGGGTGGACAAGTCCAGCATCGTCTCTATGGAGAGAGCGATCTGGATGTACTTTGCCGGCATGGAGTGGAGGTACTTGGAGGCCGCCTCCTCTTCGTTAATGGTGACGCCATGGCTCTTCAGCTTGCTGATGAGCGTCTACAGGCGGAGAGAGAAGTCCTCCACCGTTTCACCATCCTTGAACTTGAGGTTGGCGTACTTCTGCTTTAGAAGCTAGGCCGTCACCTTCTTTACGCGGTTGAAACCGACGCGCATCACCGCAATAGCCTCCCATGCCTCCTTAGCAGAGCTCTTCATCCCCAACGGCTCTTTGTACTCCACCGGTACAGCAGCGAGGATAGCCTCCAACGCTGACATGTCATCTTCCTCATTGTCGGTGCCCTTGTCAACAGCATTCTAGAGCCGTCGGGCTCTGAGCTTGACTTTTATGGTCACCGACCACTCTCCATAGTTGGTGCGAGTCAGCGTCGGCCAACTGGTGTCGCTGACCTCCCGTACCGTGCGAATAACGACCTCTGGTCGTGGCTAGGCAGCCACAGCAGTGCCACTGCTGTCGCCCATTTCCGAACCGTTCGTCATCGCCAGCGGTTAGTCCGATGACGGCGGTTGTACAGCTCCGATACCACTTGTTAGCCCACAGGATCACCGGCTCAAGTGAGTTGACCACTCACCAGTCTTGCCGACCACAGCCGAGCACGACCGAGGCTGTCTGACCACACGCACTATGGCTAGAGGTATAAGAAGAGGGAGAACAGAGCATACACGCACATAGTACAAGCACCAGCGTTGGCCGAAGCCCTGTATAGGAGATGGCAAATCTGAACTCTCTTTGTTGAGTTGTAGTGGCAAACTATATATACAACTCTATCCATCTAGTCCTAGTACAGCACACATACTGCAACAGTAACTAGATAACACAGCAGGACTGACTTCTGCGCCTGTCCCTGCATGTGACTATAGTGCGGCAGGTGAGCCGTTCGGCGTCTGCCTCTACAACGGCTACAGTACCACAATAGGGGGCCTTTTCGGCGCCGCCTTCCCTTGCTGTGTGTTCACACAAAGAAGCAGTAGATTATCTAATAGATGTGCCTGGGATAGAAACCAGAGTTAAGGATGATGTTCTTGAAAGTAACAGAATGAGAGACTACGAAAGCAAGAATGTGTGGCAGATGTGCAAATTTAACTTTTAACCCTTTTTGTTCTCTTCGCAAATAAACCTGTCATAACATAGCTAGACCTAAGTTCTTTGTTACTTTTTTCCTGTAACTAACCCATCTCAAGTAAATGTCTAAAGAGGGTTTTTTGTGTACTTTCATCACTAAATATTGTTATAACCTTTTGGTTTCCATGTCTTCTCCCAATTTTGCCCAAAGGTAAGGAACAGTTTGTTAGAGAGCTTCATTTCAGTTTCTAGTGATAACCTAAGCTCATATCATTTAGATGAGGTTGTTTTGCTAGGTTTTACAATCTTGCAATCTATATCTTCTCTAGTTGTCTTACTTGTTGAGCTGTCCACAGACATAGGCAATTAGTCGACTCTTTCGAACTTCAGATGTTGTCTTTTCATTGTAGTTGACTATGCCTGACAGCCTAGAATCTTGGCCTGGATCGGCTCTAGCGGCAAGTATCTTCAGCAAGGTGATCTTTCCACTGCCTGCACGTGGCAGAGATTGGTAACAGTAAGTGATAAAATGCTCATATAAATACTAGTTTACTTTGAGGGGGAAGTGGTTGTGTTTGGTTTTACAAGGTTTGACTTACACACAAATTAAGATCCCAATAGTTTTTAATTTAGGGGGTATTTTGCTACTCTCAATGACAAGGAACATTTTTGCACTTATCTTAAAATTCTAGTAAATGGTGTACCCAGTGTAGAGAGCTCCCGCTCTGTGCGGGGTCTGGGGAAGGATGTCAGTGGCAAACCTTACCCTCGCCTGTGCAATGCGAGGAGACCGCGACTCAAATCCGGGACCTTCCGATCGCGGTAAGCACTAGTAGAGAACAGACCTTTGATCCTCGGCCAAAATGGGCTCTAGTCCTGGCATTTTTTTGCGCCCGGGACTAGAGAGACCTTTAGTCCCGGTTGGTGGATCCAACCGGGACTAAAGGTCCCTGCCCAATGGCTACTGCGCCAGACAGAGGTGGCAGGGACCTTTAGTCCCGGTTGGAGCCACCAATCGAGACTAAAGGTAGACTTTTACTCCCGGTTGGTGGCTCCAACCGGGAGTAAAGGTCTACTCCCGGGCCGTGGCTGCGCCGGGGGTTGAAAAGTTACCTTTAGTCCCAGTTGGAGCCACCAACCAGGACTAAAGGTCCCCCCTTTATATCCCGGCCGTCCCCTTCTTCCTCCCCGAGCCCGAGCTCAACACATTTTGAAGCTCACTGCACTAGTGTTCTTGCTTCCTCCCTCCATTGTTCCTCCATCCATTCTTCGATTCCTCCATCGATTTCTTCGATTCCTCCGTCGATTATTCAGTTATAAAGGTTACCAATCTCATACTCTCATTTTTCATCATTGTCTTATCTCATTTTGTTCACTATATATATATGGTTCTTTATTGTGGTTTTTTTCATTTGTAAGCAATTTGAGCTCAAAATCACTTCAAGCTTGCATATTTACATGAAAGAAGGTTAAAGTAGCTAGTTGAACTTGCGGAACGTGTTCATCTCAGCGAGCATGTTCTCTGCCGAGCGGTAACGGGCGTCAAGGAGGAGCTTTGATTCTACGAGGGAGAGCGGCAACGGTCGTGGAAGACCGTGTTCCCTTTCTCGTAGAATCGGAGCTCTTCCGTGGCCAAGTACGGGGCCGTCCGGGGGAGAAATGCTCGTCGAGATGATCATGTAAGCAAGGTCAACTAGTACGGATGGTTATTTATTCACACATCCCGATATCGTCGTAGTAGTCTGTCAATCACCGTACTCAAACGTAGTATATATATATAAATATAAACGATAATCGATTGTCATGTGTGTACACTCCCATTCTTCTGTTAATTTGCGGAAATATCATGTGAATTACTTACCTGCCGCAGTAAAAGACGAGGACACAATGACCATGGCCACGGCCATGAAAAATGCCAACGACACAACACTAGCAACTTTCTCGGCAAGCATAGTAGTGTTAAACGCTCTGGAAACATTTAAACTTCAAGCTTGCATATTTACATGAAGGAAGGTTAAAGTAGCTATTAAAAACTAGTATTCACCATTTATTTATAGCATGCATAGCACACTTCATTGTTTAGAGATCTAGAGAATTTTAGAGTTTTTTTAATTTTATTTGTTTAAGAAATGAGTATAGAAAGTAGATGGCAACTGCTTTCGGGTCCTCGGCCTCTCATGGGTTTCCAAAGCGACTTAGGTCGGGCCTCCCACTCATTGCATGCGGCAAGTGTTGTGATGAGACGAAGATTGTGATGGAGTACCGAGTGAAGAAGGAGGGTCCCAACAAGGGTCGCATTTTCTACAAGCATCCAGATCGCAAAATGAGTTATTTTATCGTATTTAATGACTATGGTTAGTTTATACCTATTTTCATGATGGTTGTGATTAAAGTTCTAATTTTCTATTTTAATTTCAGTGGGATGACACTGGATGTTCAGGCTTCTACTAGGAGGAAGAGTATGTTGAACTCGTGCAAAAATATCTTGCACAATAGGTAGATATGGCAGCTAATGAGGCAGTGATCCAGCCGAAGAAGCCCAAACATGTTGAACAAACGGAGGATCTGTCTGTTTTAGTTGGGATTGGTCGCGAAATTCTTGTGCTGCTGAAGTGCATTTTAGCTTTAGTATTTTTAGTGGTAGTTGGGATTGTCTACATTGTAGCGAGGATTTCTTAAATTTATAACTTTTGTGGTGGTATGCATGTTGTATAATTAACTAATTATGTTCTAGGTTTTAATACGGTATTTATGTCATGTAATGCAGATGAGTCGGCATTGGATGTACAATGCTGATCGTCGCTCCCAAGAGTTCATGGACGGCGTGCATTCTTTGTTACGTGCGGCCGAGGCAAACAAACGCGATGGTTTCATGTGTTGCCCATCTGCCGTATGTAAGAATACGGTGGAATATCCTTGCTCATGGACTCTTCATTCACACTTGTTCAAGTCGGGTTTCATGCCAAACTATATTTGGCCGCTCCGCGCCGTCGACGCCCTCCACCGCACCGACACCGCCTTGGCCCGCCTCACGTCGTCGTCGTCAGCACGCCGGCCACCGCGTCGACACGGCCCGGCCCGCTCTGCTGCGCCGACCACCGCCCTGGCCCACTCTACGCCGACGTCGAGACCACGCCGCTCGTCTTGCCGTACATCCTTGTCCTCGATCGCGAACCATATGTTTTCGTCATTTGTATTCATATGCATGTATATATACGTCGCGGAGCACCGCCGCCCTCGTTCGCCCATGTGTTTCTTTGTATACGGTGGAGCACCGCCACCCTCGTTCGCCCTAGGGTTTAGGGTTTATACGGCGGAGCACCGCCGCCCTCGTTTGCCCTAGGGTTTAGGTTTATACGGTGGAGCACCGTCGCCCTCGTTCACCCTAGGTTTAGGGTTTATATGGCGGAGCACCGCCGCCCTCGTTCACCCATGTGTACAAACATATATACGGCGGAGCAGAGCACCACCACTGTGGTTACCTTGTAAGGGACCGGCTCCCGATCAGTACCCACGAATGGAAGAAGAAGACCAATGCTCCTCATATCAGTTTTGTCTCCGATCGTGACAAGACGTTAATTTGGAAAGATGTCTTGGTACATTTCACGCTCCAAACAGATGGTTATGATGATATAATAGATGGTGATGAATTGAAGGAGCGAGTTAGGGATTGGGCAATGAAGAAGATGGCCACCCAGTTTCAGACTTGGAAGAAACACCTATACACGACGTATGTCAAGAAGAACATAGCACCAGATTTCACTGTCCCAAGCCCGATCTCAAAGCAGAGGCCCTATTGGGATGAGTTTGTACAGTACAAGACGTTGAAAGAGGGTGTGAGTCGGGTGATAAAGTACCAACGTAATGCCCAACAGAAGACATACCATTAAGAAGTGGAACAAAATGGAAGCAGACCTTCTTGCCAAGGGTATCACACTAGCATCACTCGAATGGGGAGAGCGTGCAAAGAATTGGTTTTTCGCTCATAGGGGAACATTGCACCAGGAGACAGGGAAGTGCGTTTATGGCGCAAAGGCGCAAAAGCGAGAAAGATTGTTTTATGCTCGAGAGCTATCACTCACTCTTGGTGCATTTAGCCCAGACAGAGATGGATGAAGCCTGACATACGCCATCGGGACTATTGAACATGGTGGCGAACTAGAGGCAAAGGAAGTGTCTCGTGGGAGCAAAAGATTCCTTAGGATGAGACCTTTCCCTCTGAAGCCTTGAGAGAGAAAGAAGGAAGAAGAGCCACAATGGCTTCATAGGTTGGAGGAAGCGGTGCGTGAAGCACGAGGCGGAAAAAAACCCTTGAAGCGAGAATGCGGGGAGGAAATTAGAAGGCAAGTGCAAATAGCGTGTGAGTGCAAGCAAGCGGCATCGAGCGAGGAATCAACATTAGCCAATCTGCTCAGTTGAAAAGCAGTTGCACTTCCACGGAGATACCAAATCAAGGGGACACAGGACTGCGCTTCCCTGTGGATGATGTCACTGAACCTTGTACATCGTGTGAGCTACACATTTGAAGGGGAATTCCACAATCAAGGTGGCTATCGGTCTTGTTAATCCTATCGACCGAACCAAGACACCAAGGATTCATGGGAATATAATCCAAGAAGGATATGCTACCATCCATCTCGGTAGATAAAGTGTGAAAAAGGTTTTAGTGATTTGCCTCTTGACATTCACGAAGGTGATGGCGAGAAGACTCTAGGAGAAGCGGAGAGAAGACATTCATTCTATGGGCATAAGCGCTACATCATCATTCGGGATGTCGCCTCCACCTCCTCTGAACTACCTCACCATAGGTGCGGATGAAAACACTATATCTTTAATTTATATTGGCTTAAATAATTAACAATCTGCTCATAATAATATGTCATTTTTTTTTTATAGCAGATCCTCCCCAACCTAAATTCAATTGTTCAATCACCGGATCATCATAGTGCTCTATCGATGACAATGTGTTGGAAGGCGAGGGTGCATCCACACCATCTCAAGGAGGTCTCCAACGCATGCAGCCGCCACCTCCAAGGAGGTCTCAACGCCTCCCGCCCCGCCTACCAACAAGCCAAGTACTAGCAAGAGGCCAGCCCATAAACAAAGAACCGGTCCCTTGCAAACAAAAAGAAAGCCACCGTGAAACCAAGGGCTATTCCCAAAATAATATCGAAGAGAAGGAAAAATGGCGATGCATATAAAAAGATATGTCCAGATTCTATGACAAACTTAAAAAGGATCAAGAAGCAAGGAGAATCCCGGAGAAACCGTGCTAACCCGTAGCTCTAGATATTCTAAGAAAAATGTGGCTTCTTCTGCAAGCAACAACAACGGAAATCTCGTAAGCCGTCCAAAGCAACGTTAACGGACTATGACCACACTCTCACCAAGTTAATTGAGGCGGCACAGAAAAAGAAGCGGGCAGGGAAAGGAGTTGCACAACTCGGACAACAATCGCACTAATCAGTCCCCCCGCTAGTTGTTGGTAATGAATATGGTTTGAATTTAGGATTAATGCATCAGGCAAACATACCTCCGGATGTCGATTTGGATCATCTTGATGAATTTATTGAAGAGACTGGTCTCAACCTTTACCAGATGTTTGGTGATGGAAACATTGAGAGTGCGGCGGAGGTTGATATTTGGAAGAAAAAATTTATACTAGGCCAGAGTCTATACAACCCACAAGCCTTAGGTGATCTGGGGACGCAAATGTACCTGCTAAACAAGTGGTACATGCAGGCGTCTACCAGTGGAGACTTCTACGTTGGTGTCAGAATTAGAGATGAACATTGGTTCCGTGGCGATGATGTCATGTATGTTGACTTTGCAGAATTTCATCAACTATGCCACCTGACCTCTCTACGGACAAAGTTATCATTATTTGCTATTGCACTGTAAGTAATAATTCTTTCGATCTATTATTAAACTCATCATATGTGTGTATATGCATATAAATTATCCTAACAAGTACTATATATATGCTGATTTACAATGATGAGCTTGCAGAGAAAGGAAGGCTGCAATGAAATTGGTTTTGTTGATCCCCATATAGTATTCAAAGACCGTTACTCTAAAGCCTAATTGGAAGTGCGAGTCAAGAGTAACCTCATGAACTTCTTAGTGAACCAACGCATACAAGAAGGATATACTCTTTCCTACAACTTCAAGTGAGTGTTAATAATGTCGATCATCCTTAATGGCTCATATGTTGATTCTAGTTAATTAATGAGTGTTATCGTTATATCCTATAAACACATGCGGCAATCTTTGGATATTGATAGACATCGATCGGTGAAAAGTCACTTGATAATCTATGATTCGATGAGAAAACCACAACAAGACTACCAAGATATGATAGATATTATCCGAGAGGTAATTTCGGTATCTCTAGCAACTATATATACACGAAACATGATGATTAACTATATCGATGGCGTGGCAAATTTTTTATTAGGCGGTGTTTGAAAAACCTTTATTGAGAAGCAACACATGGCAAAATGCAAAGCGCCTTGAATGTAATCCTTTGAAAGTAAGTCCCTAAATCGCATCATCTTTATTAATTAAACATATAGCTTTCACGGATCACCATATTGGATGACAAATCTTTTTCTCGTAAAGTGGTGTCTGAGGCAGGAACAGGGGAACAACTACTATGGTTACTATGTTTGCAAGTTTATCAAGGAGGTCTCCCAAAGAACTCCTATAGAAAGACTCAAAGTACGTTAAAAATACACTACATATTCATTTAATTATTATTATTAATTGTGTTACTATGTCTTTATATATATATATGTGTGTGTGTATGTATGTACATATATTAATTTATTTTCCTTTAATTCAAACCTGTAGGCTCAATGGTTGGAGGAAAAGGTCATACGGCAAGATCAAATCAAAGCAATTCAAGAGTCTATAGCCGGATTTTTTAATGACCATGACATCGATTCCAAGGGCGAGTTCTACTTCGACCCAACACTGCCATGGAAGCCAAGCTAGAGGATGAGAGGAAACTTGTTATATCACAACAACTGTAATATAATGCAATCTTTTGTAATATATGCACATGAAATAATATAATGTAAAATACACATATGCATGTATGCATGTAAATATATATATGATGCATGAAATATATATATATATATATATATATATATATATATATATATATATATTTCTATGTTTGAATTGTGTCATTTCATACGCTCATTGTGCTTGAACCGAAACATACTATACGCGTGTATAAATGTATTATTAGCAGCGTACAATACGACTTCGAAAACCTATTTTGAAAAGAAAAGAAAAAAATGAAAAGAAAAGAAAAAAGAAAAAAGAAAAAAAAAACCTTTAGTCCCGGTTCATATTACCAACCGGGACTAAAGGGTGCCGGCCTCGTGGCATGTCAGGAGGCACCTTTAGTCCCGGTTGGTGTTACCCACCGGGACTAAAGGTCCCCTTTAGTCCCGGTTCCTAACCCGGGACTAAAGGACCCCCTTTAGTCCCGGATGCTTGCTCCCGGGTGGGGAACCGGGACTAGAGGGGGTTCCCCACCGGGAGTAAAGGCCGTCTCTGTACCAGTGAAGACTCTACCGCTTGCACCAGGCCCACCCTTCTATCTTAAAATTCAGTGATCATATTAATACTTATTCTGAAATTTGAACATAGGAAAACACTGCATGCTTGAATTGAACAAGGTTGATTACCAGGCGGACCAAGGACTAGAGTCATAGAACCCGGCATGTTGTAGCCATCAATTCCCTTCAAGATTTGAAGCTCTGCTGATCGCTTGCTCAGGGACAGGCTTCTTATTGGTTGCACAAAGTATTCAAGCAGCTTGTTGCCAAAGGTCTCATAGCTGAAGGCAGCTCTCTCGATCTTTGCCAGGTATGTTATCCCACAGAATTTGACGACCTGCAGTACCACATTGTAACAACTCTGTTTAACTTAATACCTAAATCCCTATATTTTTTAGAACGTAATACCTAAATTATATATGAGAACACAATACCTAACATTAACGACCTGCAGTACCAAGTATGAGTTTTATTTTAATTCATATTGACGCTGTCTAATATTAGTACCACATTGTACTAATGTTTTTTTTCCCCAATGGGTACTAATGTTGTATTTCAGTTGCATAGTTTTAAACCTAGGCCTTGTCTTTTTCATTTATAATTACTATAAATGGTTAGATCACTGCTGTTGAAAAAAAATCGTACAATTACATATTTAAATTCCTTGTCTAATTAGCCATTCTCAGATGCTCGACCTAAATTGCATTAGTGACCATACGGTATTGATACGGTATCTGTGGCTGCAAATCCTTTTCATTGCTTTGAGACTTGTCTACAGATTCTTTTTTTTTATATATAAGGTGGCAGTTCTGTGTACTCATGTTTCTGTTTATTGAGAAGCATGAAGACTGTTCATTTAGTGAGAAGCTGGCTTAGATGTGTACAGGACATATATATTATTATGTTCAAATTGTAACCCCACTTTCCGGAGGTATCGATCATAGTTAGCAAATCAGATGATCATGTGGATGCTTCTCGTTGCTTCAATTCATAATTAATGTTTCGCTCAACTATATTAATTTGACACGGTCATTGAATCATTTTGTTCCACGTGGTGAGAATTCCTGTATCCTCAACGTGAATGACCTAATGTCTGTAATAATAAGATATGGTTAGTCAAACCTAAAGCTTGCTGCTAATTGTCTCAACTTGTAGGCTGATGTTGTTATTATTCTGTTTTCGGTCTCTATCACACACTACATGCCAAGAAAGCACCTTTTAAACCACTGTATCTACACTGGTAGAGAATAGAGCCTTACTCCCGGTGGGAACCCCCTCTAGTCCCGGTTCCCCATCCGGGAGCAAGCATCCGGGACTAAAGGAGAATCCTTTAGTCCCGGGTCAGGAACCGGGACTAAAGGAGGACCTTTAGTCCTGGTGGATAACACCAACCGGGACTAAACACTACTAGAGAACAGAATTTAGAACGATATCCCAATTTGGCATTAGTCTCGGTATTTTTTGCCTTCGGGACTAAAGGTCCTTTAGTCTCGGTTGGTAATACCAACCGGGACTAAAGGTTCATTTACTTCGGTTGGAACCACCAACCGGGACTAAAAGTCCTCCAACATTTAAGTCCTCCAACATTTAGTCCCGGTTGGTCCAACCGGGACTAAAGGTAAACCCTTTAGTCCCGGTTAGTAACACCAACCCGGACTAAAGGACCCTTTAGTCCCGATTGGTAACACCAACCGAGACTAAAGGTTCCCCGATGGGTTAGTTCAAAAGGAAAGCATCCCATCCATTGTTAGATGTGTGTGTATGTGGGGTGGTAAGCTCGCGCGAGGCAGTGCATGAGGTCTTGGGTTCGAATCTCATAGGGCGCAGCGGTGGGAGGCATTATTTTTTTTTTAAGCTAGGAGGATCTTTAGTCCCGGTTGTGGCAAACCGGGACTAAAGAACACCACCTTTAGTCTCGGAACGCTAGTCTCGGTTGGGAAACCGGGACTAAAACCAGTTCCCAACCGAGACTAGATGTCAGTTCTGTAGTAGTGAAAGGTGCCTCCTGACATGCCACGATGACCGGCACCTTTAGTCCCGGTTGGTAATACGAACCGGGACTAAAGGTTGTTTTTCTTTTTTCTTTTCTTTTCATTTTTTTGTTTTCTTTTCAAAATAGGTTTTCGAAGTCGTATTGTACGCTGCTAATTATATATTTATACGCGCGTATAGTATGTTTCGGTTCGAGCACAATGAACGTATTAAATCACACAATTCAAGCATTGAAAATATATATATATATATGCATGCATGCATCATATATATATTTACATGCATGCATGCATATTTGTATTTTACATTATATTGTTTCATGTGCATATATTACAAAAGATTGCATTACAGTTGTTATGATATAACAAGTTTCCTCTCATCCTCTAGCTTGGCTTTCATGGCAGTGTTGGGTCGAAGTAGAACTCGCCCTTGGAATCGATGACCTGCTCATTAAAAAATCCGGCTATAGACTCTTGAATTGCTTTGATTTGGTCTTACCGTATGACCTTTTCCTCCAACCATCGAGCCTACAGGTTTGAATTAAAGAAAAATAAATTAATATATGTACATATATATATAAAGACATAGTAACACAATCAATAATAATAATTAAATGAATATATAGTGTATTTTAACGTATTTTGAGTCTCTCTGTAGGAGTTTTTGAGAGACCACCTTGATAAACTTACAAACATAGTAACCACAGTAGTTGTTCCCCTGTTCCTACCTCAGACACCACTTTACGAGAAAAAGATTTGTCATCCAATCTGGTGATCTGATGAAAGCTATATGTTTAATTAATAAAGATGATGTGATTTAGGGGACTTACTTTCAAAGGGATTACATTCAGTGGCGCTTTGTATTTTCTCATGTGTTGCTTCTCAATAAAGGTTTTCCAAACACTGCCCAATAAAAAATTTGCCACGTCATCAGATATAGTTAATCATCATGTTTGTGTGTATATATAGTTGCTAGAGATACCGAAATTACCTCTGGATAATATCTATCATATCTTGGTAGTCTTGTTGTGGTTTTCTCATCGAGTCATAGATTTTCAAGTGACTTTTCACCAGATCAATGTCCATCAATATCAAGTGATTGCTGCATGTGTTTATAGGATATAACGCATAACACTCATTAATTAACTAAAATCAACATATGAGCCATTAAGGATGATCGACATTATTAACACTCACTTGAAGTTGTAGGGAAAGAGTATATCCTTCTTGTGGCGTTGGTTCACTAAGAAGTTCATGAGGTTACTCTCTGACTCAGACTTTCAATTAGTCTTTGGAGTAACTAGGTCTTTGAATACTATATGGGGATCAACAAAACCAATTTCATTGCAGCCTACCTTTCTGAGCTCTGTCATTGTAAATCTGCATATATATAGTACTTGTTAGGATAATTTATATGCATATACACACTTATGATGAGTTTAATAATAGATCGAAAGAATTATTACTTACAGGCAATAGCAGCTAATGATAACTTTGTCCAGAGAGGTCAGGTGGCATAGTTGATGAAATTCTGCAAAGTCAACATACATAACATCATCGCCACGTAACCAATGTTCGTCTCTAATTCTAACACCAACACAGAAGTCTCCCCGGTAGACGCCTGCATGTACCACTTGTTTAGCATGTACATTTGCGTCCCCAGATCAGATAAGGCTTGAGGGTTGTACAGACTCTGGCCTAGTACAAATTTTTTCTTCCAAATATTAACCTCCACCGCACTCTCAATGTTTCCATCACCAAACATCTAGTAAAGGTCGAGACCAGTCTCATCAATAAATTCACCAAGGTGATCCAAATCGATATCCGGAGGTATGTTTGCCTGATGCATTAATCCTAAATTCGAACCATATTCATTACCAACAACTAGCAGGGGGACTAATTGGTGAGATTGTTGTCCGAGTTAGGCAACTCATTTCCCTGCCCGCTTCTTTTTCTGTGCCGCCTCAATTGACTTGGTGAGAGTGTGGTCATAGTCCATTAACGTTGATTTGGACGGCTTACAAGATTCCCGCTGTTGTTGCTGGTAAGAAGCCACCTTTTTTCTTAGTATATCTGGAGCTACGAAGAAGTACGGTTTCTCTGGGTTTCTCCTTACTTCTTGATTCTTTTTAAGTTTGTCATAGAATCTGGACATATCTTTTTTATATGCATCAGTTCCTTCTTCCTTCTCTTCAGATATTATTTTGGGAATAGCCCTTGGTTTCACGGTGGCTTTCTTTGTCGGCGGGGACTGGATCTTCGTTTGCGGGGCTGGCCTCTTGCTAGCACTTGGCTTCTTGGTAGGCGGGGGCGGGGGAGGCGTTGGAGACCTCCTTGGAGGTGGTGGCAGCGGCGTTGGAGACCTCCTTGGAGATGGCGGCTGCGGCGTTGGAGACCTCCTTGGAGATGGTGTGGATGCAGCCTCGCCTTCCAACACAATGTCATCGTACAGAGCACTATGATGATCTGGCGATTGAACAATTGGATTTAGGTTGGGGGAGGATCTGATACAAAAAAAGGAATGACATATTATTATGAGCATATTGTTAATTATTTAAGCCAATATAAATTAATGATGTAGTGTTTTCATCCGCACCTATGGTGAGGTAGTTCAGGAGGAGGTGGAGCCGACATCCCGGGAATGATGATGTAGCACTTGCACCATAGAATGAATGTCTTCTCTGCTTCTCCTAGAGTCTTCTCGCCATCACCTCCAGGAATGTCAAGAGGCAAATCACAAAAACCTTTTTTAGCTTTATCTATCGAGATGGTAGCATATCCTTCTTGGATTATATTCCCATGAATCCTTGGTGTCTTGGTTCGGTCGATAGGATTAACAAGACCGATAGCCACCTTGGTTGTGGAATTCCCCTTCGAAATGTGTAGCTCACACGATGTATAAGGTTCAGTGACGTCATCCATAGGGAAGCGCAGTCCTATGTCCCCTTGATTTGGTATCTCTGTGGAAGCGCAGCTACTTTTCAACTGAACAAATTGGCTAATGTTGATTCTTGGCTCTGATGCCTGCTTGCTTGCACTTACTGCTATTTGCACTTGCCTTCTGATTTCCTCCTGCAGTCTCGCTTCAAGGTTTTTTCCCCGCTCCTGTGCTTCACACACCGCTTTCTCCAACCTCTAGAGCCGCTGTGCCTCTTCTTCCTTCTTTCTCTGGCGGCTTCCGTAGGAAGGTCTGTCCTGAGGGAATCCATGCTCCCACAAGACACTTCCTTTGCCTCTAGTTTAGCCACCATATTCAATAGTCCCGATGGCGTATGTCAGCTCATCCTTCTCTCTGTTGGGCCTGAACGCACCACTAGCAGTAGCTCTCTGAGCATAAAACAATCTT